CCAAAGGTGTCAGCAAGCCTCCGATTGTACGCCTCTAGTGGGTTGTTAGTCCTGTGGACTATCTCGACATTCTCTTTCATCATCCCGGAGATATTCCAAAAAGAAATATCGTATGTGTGCACCACGTCTTCACATAGTAGTCTCAGAACGCTTGCCATTTTTCTTTGCGATCTGCTTCTGCAGGCACGCCAATGAGACGGTACAGCTTTTTAGTGACGAACGGGATAGACTTTTTTCTTAGCACTTGACTGGTAAAACAGTGAGTAGGTCAAGTACTCCAGGCTCCATGGCAGCTGCGACCTCCGCTCGAGTGATCCCCAATGAAATCATTTTTCGCCGTATAGCCTGCTTCCAGTAGAACAGGCAGCCGACAATGTGTGCACTTTCGAACTGGTCACGAATTCCAATGTGGAGCGCTTGTTCAAATCCCACACCACCACGCTCGGTACGCAAGCAATGTCCGTTTGAATTTTTATCCATTGGAACACGTTCCAGTATGTCCAGTGATCCTTGGTATCAACCAAGATATAGAAACAGGGTACGTAGAGATCGTGATCTCGATCGTGAATCATCACAATGATGGTTTGAGTGAATGGTGTTGGAGTCACACTGAAGGTGGCGTCGACGAATAAAGTAAAACCAGGATATTTCATTAGTCGACTTAGGTCTGGATGCCCAAACCCAACGATTCGCCTACACTTTCCCTCCATTGGGAAAGCAAGATTCATCTGGAGAAATTCTCTCTCGTCATCATCAGATATGCGTCGGACTTGCTCCGTCTCGATCGCTCGAAAGGCATCACCACCGGTTGCCGCATCTCGGCATCTCCTGATAACGCCAATCGCTTCTTGCTTGGGGAGGAACTGAAGGCCAGACCGTTCACAGTTTTGTGCGGATCATCTCGTCCTTGACATCACGCCAAACACGTCCTGGGAGAACTCGCAAATTACCAAGACTTTGTAGTTCAAGGAGTTGGCGCATCTCTTCTTGCACATCTCGTGCTATCACATCGTCACCGGTGACGCAGACATGATCTCCCTTGATGTGCACAGTACCGTCATCATGACAAGTCAGTCGAGCTTTGCACTTTGTAGTCTGGCTTTGTCGGCACGCGTAGTACTTTGTCGTCTTGTAGGAGTCTTTGTAGTAGTAGTAGTGATCATCATGCTGCATTGTTGGTTGTTAAATTGGAGGTGCCGATCGTGTGATATGCCTGAAATACAAGAATGAGTAGACTCTATGCTAATGTGGCGCAGTATGGATAGACGTGAAGACCAGTATTAGATGGGAGGTAGTTGAGATAAGATATACAGGTATGCATAGCGAAGATCTCCGTTTTAGGCACTATTTTGGGAATCTAATGGTGGTCGCTTCTTTGGGCATACTTTAGGCATTGAGGAACAGTTAATAATAACGCGCGTTATGTTTTGGTACTGATTTGGGTATTCAGGATCGTGATTTATAAAGGGCATATCAACCTCTTCAACCCGGAAGCTGTATAATCTGCGTTAGGGGTCGGGAAGTTGTCCCGGTTATGGGGGCTTAGGCTGTATATACAGCATAAGCAAATATAAGCTTGCTTTCACTATGGTCTTAGAGTTTGCACATCCTTCGGTATACAATTTTTTATGTAATGGATTGAAGCAAGAAAAGATCCGAATCGCCTTTCTACAGAGGGTAGGGGTTGAAGTACCACTCTCCGTTTTCTCGATTTTTGGTATGTACTCTGACAGTTTGAAGCAATCATTTAGATGAAAGATCGAAGATTAGAGGTAACTTTCGCGCCAAATCGCTCGGACCAGTCAGTTGAAATGTTTCGCAGGGAGAAGGAAAGCAATGGTTGGGACGCGCAGTAGCGCACCGCGTGAGGATGCCGCGGTGCTTCTTGAGTCTAAACGCGGCACGAAGCACTTCCGGCTCATATGGCCTCAA